TTGTCTTGTCACAGATGGCAGGATTCCTTTACAGCTTTGTTATAGTGTGCATGCACTTACTGGGGGTGGGGAGGGAGTAGAGAGAAAGTGAGAGACAGGGAAGGTGAGAAGTCATTCCCAAGAGGACATAGCCACACTACAATCCCTCCTCTCCATTCTCCTCTTGGGATATTGGGCACACACACATGCACCTGGAGTGTTTTAAGCCCTGGCTCCAAGATTTACTCCTGTTATAAGGCTGAATAATATCTTATTGTATGTATATGTTAAATATGTATTTTTTAAAAAGCCTACAACTTCATAGAAATTGAAAAATGGAAAAATAGCTCAGTTCCTTTTATATCCTGGTAATTAATCTCTTACCAGAATATAGCTTATGACCAGTCAGATGGCATGGAGGTTAAGGCAACTGGATCTCTCATGGCCAACTGCATGGTGTGAGCCTTGGACCCAGCAGCTTCAAAAACATGCCAGACTTCTGTGATTATGTGCTCAAATACTGAGAAGACTAGAAGAAATTGAGGCAAGGTCATTCTCCCTGGGGGGTGGGGATATTTCCTTACTTTCTCTCTCTGTCTCTCTCTAGTGAGTGCATGCACCCTGTGGCAAAACTAATATATATATAATGGTTTTTCTCTTTATTCTATTTATTACTTCCTTTGCTTTCCAGAAGATTTTTAGCTTGAAGTAATCCTATTTATTTTTGGTGCTGTTGCTCATGCTTTAGAAGTCTTACAAAATCTTTGCTTATTCCAATATCTTAGTGTTTCCCCTGTATTGGGTTGACTCATTTTTTTGCATAGAAAAACAGAAAAATACATCATGACTTCCGAGGACCCAATACTTTCTTCAAGTTCTTTTATGGTTTGGGGCTTTAAATTTAAGCCTTTAATCCTCTTTGAGCAGATTTTTTGTAAATGGTGAGGGACAGGGGTCTAGTTTCATTCTTTTGCAGGTCGATGACCAGTTTTCATATTACCATTCATTGGAAGGACTGTCTTTTCTCCACCAGACTGCCTTGGGATCCTGGTAGAAAATCAGTTGGCTGTGTGTTGGGCTTATTTCCAGATTCTCCATTCTGTGCTATTAGTCTTTGTGTCTGTTTTTGTGCTACCACTGTGCTATTTTGGTTACTATGCCTTTGTAATGTATTTTCAATTCAGGAAATTCGATGCCTCCAACTTTATTCGTTTTAAACAACTCACCCACAAAACATCCCTAAAAAATCTAAATTTAATGTCAATTCTGTAACCTTCAACCTGTTCTTCCTGGTGTCACTATAGAAGGCCTGGGAGGAGCATTACTGCATAGGGAGGTTTTGGATTCCTCTATTAACGGGGGCAGATTCTGGGGCCACTGTGACTTGTCTGCGGGGACATGCTAGGGAAAGGACAGTTACACCCAAAGGGAAGCTACAACAAGAGAGGCAGGGTGGGTAAGCATCCTTTATTTTTATGACAAGGAACTGATAGGAGTGATCTAAAACATGGAAAGCCATCTCAGCAGAAGGGCAGCAAAGGAAGTGACATAGTCAAGGTAAGGCACTTCTCTTCTGGTGGGATCTTCAGAGTGAAAAGATAGCCGGATCCACGGATGACTTCAGGAAAGTGTTAGCAGCTTTCACAAGCCCAGGCATGGCAGCACCTGTGATGAGGAGAGACCAGACTGAGGGCCGAGGTGTTGCACCAAGAAGGAACG